CATAAATGATGTCTCAAGAAGACACCAGATAACACCTACCCTGGCTTCCCTGTTGGGAAGTCTATCCCTGCAATGACAACATGTTTATGTGGCTCGAGGTCTCCGAAGGGCTAGGTGTAGAGGCAGAATGAAAACCACACTCCAAGAAACTGAAGAGGTGGACTGTAAGGTGGGAAAGGCATGCGTGCAGGGGGAGAGGTAGGACCCTCAAGTGCGAGTCATCTTTAGGAGAAATCCAGGCTCAACAAGCGGTCCTGGGGAGGAGTCGAGTCTTGGTCTCAGACTGGCCCAGGAGTGGACAGCTGGTCCGGGCTGGAAAGACAGCTCCTAGGAATAGCCGTGCCAGCAAGCGTATGACAGATGATGAAATGGCAGGAGATAAATTTAAACCTGAGTAATGGGGACACAAAGGGTAAGTGAAGAGAAATAGAATATTTTAGTAACATAAGGAAATGAGAAGAAAATGACTTGCCGTGAAATGTCAAACTTCTGTGCCTGGAGGAGATGTAATCTGGCCACTGCAGGCTCCAGGGAGTGGGGGAATCTGTGGTTATTTCAAGCAAAATTTAATTCACTTTAATTTAATGGCAGCTACCTTTGCGGCAGTGCTAGGGAGTCAGCCTGTTAACTGGAGTGTTTCTCGATTGCTGCTACTATGTTAGCAGCTTTGATTATAGTCATTCATTCATTTATCTGTGTATCTGGGGAGTGAGTGTAAAAGCCAAAGGATTTAGAAACAACCCACAACTCCTCCTCTTCCCCCCTCCACCTCCACCATCACCATCACCACACACTGGCCAGGAGATCCTGCTCAGCTGGAGAGACTGATGGATGAACAGAAAGTAAGGCTGTAAGGCCATTACCCTGGACCTAACATCTGCCGATGCCCAATATGTTTGTGAAGTGAGTGCATGATTGAAAGGCAGGATCTGAGAAGGCACCAGAGAGGTCTGAACCTCAAGCTGGGTCTTGTAGGATGCATAGGAGTTCATCAGGTAGGCAAATAAAGCCAAGAACAGATAAGGCAGAAGTAACAATATGAGGCAAAGTAGAAAGAACCCCTCGTGACAAATAGGAGGAGCCACATGTAACAAGGCTGTGTGTGTGTGTTGTGTGTGTGTGTGTGTGGTGTTTCCTGGGGAGAGGGAGGAAGTGGAGAGGAGGCGGTGGCACAGGACTGTGGACCCCAATGGGAAATAACGCTGACTCAGAGAAGCATACAGTCCAACTGTATCTAACCATCGTTGAAATCTCTACTCCAACCCACATGCCTACCCATCCTTCAAGGCTCAGTTCAGGTCTCACTCCCCCCAGAATGCCTTTCGGACCTCTGGTTGAGGTGAGTGTCCCTTCCCCCATTCAGTGCCTCCAGGTCACTTGGTGCCCCCCATTCTGTCCATGCCTGTATTTGGTTGGTTTGTCTGTATGCCTGTTCTTCTCCCTATTGAGGCCGCCATTATTCCAATGGGGTCTCACCCCCTGGTGGCTCCCTGGACACTGGCCAGGTCATCCTATCTTTGGGATCCTCCCTTGACCCTCAGTCAAGGTCCATCTGGAGAAGTGGCTCCAGAAGCTGAGATCTAAATAAAGGACGGCTATGTAGCGGTTACACAGTGGGCTGCTAACTACAAGGTCAGCAGTTCGAAACCACCAGGCGCTCCTTGGGAGAAAGACAGGGCTTTCCAGTCCTGTAAGAGTTACAGTCTCTGGTGACAGCTCACTGAGGACAGCACTGAGGATGTAGTTTGGGGAGAGCAGTCAGTCTGACCCGCCCACGTGAGGGCAAACCAAGAAGGGAGTGCAACAGATCAGCATGGGAGCAAAGCCACGAAGTGCCTGAGGAATCCTGATTGTAGACTTCTGACTCGGGGGTGGGCAGCGCTTGGCACCTCATCTGCACTGGTTGGGGGTTATTCCAAGGGAGCCACCCTGAAAGTCTAAAGGTGTAATGGGGTAAGGGTGGGGCACTAGATCACTCCCTCCCTGACTGCAGGAAGAGCAATGGGGACTTGCAGGAGGTGCGCCTCTCGGTCACGAATGCTGAGGACTGGAAGGGTACAAGCGCTGTTGGGTAAGTGGGATCCGGGATATGGAACCCGGAGGGAAAGGTTACTGGATGGATGGTTTATAACATGTCCTTCTCGCTATTTAACAGAGACACTCATCTACTCTGGAGCAGGATAACAGACTTGGAACTATTTGTATGGTCTTTTTTCCTTTTGGTGTCTATCGATTTAAGATAGGACAGCGATGGGCCTGATGGTTCCAGGCGGGTATAGGATGGGAGGAAGTGGGGGAGGGGAGCACTGAGTCAATAACAACAGGGCCAGGGGAACAGTAAGGGTACTGAAATTGATGGTGAGGTGGGTACAGTGCTCCTGGTAGTGTTTGATCGATTGAAATGTATCAAAGAGAATGACTGAGAGGTAAACAATGGGTAAACATGATAGTGGAGCAGGAAGGAAGAAATAGAGGAAAGAAGTAAAAATTATATATGTAAGTATAAATATAGATAAGTAAATATATAAAGATATATACATATATATAAATACAACAGGAAACAGATAGACTTTGGGCCTCTACTTAAATCTTACCTCAGTTCAAGAAAAGTTTGTTCTAATAACATGGCACTGTATGATACTCACCTTCCCAACAGGATCCTTGAAGACAAAATGGGTGCATCAGCAAATGTGGTGAAGAAGACTGATGATGCCTGGCTATTAAAAGACAGAGCATCTGGGGTCTTAAAGGCTTGTAGTTAAACAAGCAGCCATCTAACAGGGAAGCAACAAAGCATACATGGTAGAAGCACACTAGCCTGTGTGATCATGAGGTGTCAATGGAATAGTTTTCAGAAGTTCAAAAACAAGCAATCACATTGATGTGAAGGAGCGTGGACAAAGTGGAGACCCAAAACCCACCTGTAAGACAATTGGACAGTCCCTCACAGAAGGGCCACACAGAAGGGATGATATATCTAAGGTGCAGTATAGCACTGATGAAATACTAGCTTTTCTCTAGTTCTTTCATATTTCCTCCCCTTACCATTGTCTTTGTTTTTACAAATTAATCTTGTTAGACCTGCGTAGGTTCATTTGTATAATTCAGATCATTCGATGCATGAAAGCCAAAATAGATAACCCTTTCAGAAACAGTAATGGGAGTAATGATACCCTGATGGTACGGGAAGAGAGGCAGGTAAGGGGGATATGGAGAACTGATAGCAATGATGACTGTATAACCCCACTCAAGGGGAACGAATAACAGAACTGTAGGTGAACAGATACACTGAATGATATAAGGTATGATGAAAAGTAAATAAATATAATAATAAGGTTTCCTGTGGGGTAGGGTGGAGGAGGAAAGGGGAAAAGGGGATCTGATAATGATTACAGCCAGGAAAACCCTAAGAAACAGCTCGATTTAGCATCTCATGGGGTTGCCACAAGTCACCACCATCCACTTGTGGCAACCGGATCTGGTTTTTGTGGTTATCGTCTGACCGGTGGCAGAAGAAAAATCAAAAGAGTTTTGAATGAGTTGTGCCAGCTTCTTCACTTTACACATGAGAGAGAAACCCAGAGAGGGAGGGACACTTGTTGGAAACTGCCTAGCCCCAGACAGGAGACAGAGCTGAAGAGAAAGCAAGGGAGGGAGGGAGGGAGGAAAAGATGCACAGGTTCAAAGAGTAATCTAGCAATGCATCCTAATTTTTAATTCATGTTTGAATTTAAATGATTGTAAACATGGGCCTTTGCCAGAGTTACTTCAAAATAACAAGATTTCTTAGGATCCTCTTCACATGGACCAGTAAACATAGGGAGAAAGTGAGAGGGGAGCAGTTCTGGTGTGTGGACTGCAATGAATGTTACAACATAAATGTGTTGAATAGAAAGCCAACTGGCTCTGTAAACATTTGCCCAAGTCACAATAAAAAGTTAAAAAGAATCGGGCTCAAGTGGGAAGAGAATGCTTTGAAAATGATGATGGCGGCATATGTGCAAAGGTGCTTGACACGATGGATGAATGTATGGGTGGTGATAAGAAATGTAAGAGCCCCCAATAAAAGTTATTAAAAAAAAGTTAACAAGAAGAATCCCTTCAACTCACTCATTGCCATTGAGTCAATGCCGACTCACAGTGACCCTACGATGGGCCAGGGGAGAACTGTCCCTGTGCGTTTCGGAGACTAACTCCCATGGTGTGGCTAATGGTTTCAAACTGCCCACCTTGCAGATGGCAGCCAAAGGTGTAAGCACTAGGCCACCAGAGCTCAGCTGATGACATGCAGCTTTTTCATCTTTTCTGATCTTCTTGCTTCCCTACTTAGTGCCTTACTCTCTCTTCTGGACTTCTGTCTCATCTATAAAAAGAGGAAGCTGTTCCCAAGCCCCATTGCTCATTGTAATAAACCAAAGCCTGCGTTTTTAAAATTCAGCATGAGGCTAAGACCCCTGGGAGCCAAAGCCCACTTGGCCATCAGTTGTGACTGTAACTGGGTCCCCAGCAGCCTCAGCCTCAGCCTAGCCTAGGTCCCTTAGATTGGGCCATCTGGGTGTAACGGTGGAGGGCGTTGATTATAAATAAAACTGCATCATATAGAGGAGCTGCCAGTTCATTCAAGCACTCAAATACAAAGTTAATCCAAGAAACGTGATCTGAAAATAATTTTAAAATAATACTTAATGGTGTCTTCAGCAAATGTTTTACACAGCAAATTAGATTCCCATGTAACAATTTCTATACACATTGTCCAGTGTCACTGTACAATTTTTACAATGTGTCAGCATTATCATTTGTTATTTCTATTGATCTAGCTCCCCTTCTCCGCCTGGTCTCCTCACCTGTGTTTTGGGGGGAACCTTGATCATTTGGTCTCATCTAGTTTATTGTTTGAAGGAGCACATTCCTTTGTTTGCTCTGTAAGCCAGTCTTTTATTTGGTGGATGAGTAACCCACAGAGAGAAGAATAATTGTTGTTTAATTTTTATTTGTCACAGTTTCTTTGCCCTTCGCCCCTAGCCTGTCCTTGGCTCATTTTTGTCTTCCATTTGCATCTCGGAGGGCGCGCTGGAGTCAATTCCCTTCCCACCATCAGCCACGACCCAGGATCATTGGACGTCCTTTTCTCAGCAACAGAGGTATTTGAGATAAGCCTGTTTTAGGATGGCATTCTTCCCTCTACCTCCCATAGCTCCAAGCCCATGAGAACAGACAAAATGGACCAGACCACAGTATCCATCCCCTCACCCTCTCCTTGACAAACAGACTTTATAGATAAACGGAGTTAATGGCTGTACTGAGGAGGGTCCCTCTGGGAGAGCCAGGTGGCTTCACCAGAACCCAAAGAGAGGTCTCCTGGTCCCTGGCCCTTGTAACATTGCCCTCAGGTAAACCCACTTGGCACCAGCCTGAGTCACCACAACTGTCGCCTTCACCCAGGAAGGCAGGAGGACAGACAGCCGAGGAGGTTCTGAGAGAAAATCTAGGAGAGCGGGCCTCCAAGAGCTTGGGCTACAAAGATCTCACCGAACTTGGGTTGAACTGACAACTATTGTTGGACGTTGTGGAGCTTTCAGAAAACTGCAGGCTGACCCAAGGGTGGCTGGCATATCAGGAAGATCAGAGCTCACCTGGGGGTTCCCTGACAAGACCCCTGGTGTGCACAGCATGGTGTGTGGGTCTTGCTTTCCCTATCCAACTCTCCTCCCTGCCCCATCTAAGTAAGGCACTCTCATTAGACAAACCAGTGAGAGACTATTGGTACTTCCATACCATGGAATGTTCCTTATCAGCAAAAAAGAAGGAATTATTGATACACACAACTTGGATGGACTTTGAGGGCATTATGTTGTGTGGGAAAAGGGCCCTCTCCAAAGGTCACAGTCTATAGGATTCCTTTTATTGAGTAGTCTAGAAATGACTAACATACAGAGAGCAGATCAGGAGTTACTGATGGTGGGCAGAAGGGCTATGATTATAAGGGATAGGCACAAGGGAATTCCTTTAGGGTGATGGAACAATTTTATATGTGGTGGCAGCTATACAATCCTGTTCTATGATAAAGCCTCATAGAACTATACACAAACACCTAACAGCCAAGTATATGCAAAAGCAGGTGAAACCCAAGTCAGATCTAGGGACTAGTTTATTGTTTTATGTCTATGTGAATTTCCTGAATGTCAAAGTGGATTTTTTCATATTTTGCCTCAGAAATACTGACCCTCAAACCCACCTGTGAGCCCTCTCTGGCTCCACTGCCACCATGGCACCTGTGAAAAAGCCTGTGGTGAAGGGCCACAAAAAAGGAAGCAGGTTCTGACGTTCACCCTTGATGGCACCCACCCTGCAGAAGATGGGACCATGCTGCCAATTTTGAAGAACTAGGGTACGAGACAATTCTTGCCATATACCACTCCATAGTCAGCACAGGGCGGTTAGGTACTGAAATAGCTTTTTCTTCCTTTTTGCATCATGGAAATAATCAGATCTTAAGTGAGTTTAGCTATTGCCTTTTTTGAATTAAAAGCTCCTGTTGATTAACCTAGCACAGGGTAGAGCCCATTACTAGAGAAGTATCTGGAATATGAGGTGTGTGTGTGTGTGTGTGTGTGTGTGTGTGTG